TTATTTCAAGTGCATTTTATCTAATTATCTTATTTTAAGAGTAAAAATACTCATTCCATTGGCAAACTACCTCATTTACTTATTCAAATTATGGGTAAATACACTTAATTTAAGAAAATTCTACTTATTTCTAGATCGTTTTTCCAGTGTGTGAAACAGTATACCAGAACTTGCAGTAAAAAAAAAAAGTCTGAAGTGTTTTATAAATCCCTAAGGGAATTTAGGTGTTGTAGTTTTAGCATTTTTGATGTTATATACGGTAATAGCACATTTTGGAACATTGTTTGTTTTTTTGCCTTCAGTAATAAGGCCCAAATGTAAAAATCAGAGAATGTTTCTTAGTCTTATCTACCATGAAATTAAATTAAAAGAGAAAAACAATGTTGATAGAAAATTAAAATTTTGTGTTGCACCTTACATTTTGTATTTTAAAAGGGTTAAATGTGTATTTTTTTTTTAGGCCTTGCATGGGGAAAATTGCAATATAATATTTTTCATCATGTGTTGCTGCATCAGTGATCTGATTTGGCCGTTCTTCAATTGTTGTCGGGGGGCCAGAAAATTTCCAAGGACCAATAATGACTCCAGGGTTGCTCTGTAGACATCCTTTATTCGCTGTTTTTTTTTACAAGATTTGTGTCTGTGGACTGAGATGACTACACATTAAAGTTGATTATTTGAATAATGAACCGTTTTTTGTCTTTTTGGGAGAAAAAACTTTAGAAAAATGTAATCATTCAACCAAGTCCACCAGTTCTGATTTAAAATCTCCTGTTCATTTAAAGAAAACATGATGCCTTAAACTCTGCCCACACATCTGTGAGAGAAAACATTCCCCCAGAATCACACATCCCCTACCATACCAAGTAATGGGCCTAGGGGATTTTCCCCATATCCACTCTTTGCTTCCTTTCAAACTCACCTTAAATTTTTATTTCCAAAAATACACTGCAAAAAATGGAAATCTGTATGAGTTATTTTTGCTTAAATTGAGTGAATTTTGTCTTTAATTGAGGAGATAAGTGAGACAACTTGCCAATGAAACAAGACAATTTACATTTAAAATAAGAAAAAAACAATTGCTTTGTCTTATTTCAAGTGAATAT